CAAGGCAATAATCCACGGTCGGAGTCAGAGGTTGCTGTGTTAAGCCACACAGTTTTACTTAGGCTGATGTCCTTACTGGTGTCATGTTTTCAGGCTGTGGCCCCAACTGGTAGTCTAAACCGTCTGCTTAATTTTCCTTATCATCTGGAAGTGAGTGATGCCCTGTCCTTCCCAGACCCTGGGAAGAGGAAGGTATCTGCTTGCAGAAGGATTTCTTTGCCTGGATCCCGCTGGAGAGATAACCCCATGTTCAAACACGGATGAGAAAACCAGGCAGGTTCCCGACTGTTTTCATAGGCTGGGGTATGTCTTGCCTGAAACGGTCTTACAGCTTTCTTTTTAAAGCATGGCTGCAGAGGTTATCTCCCCTCTTACTTGCAGCCATTCAGCATCCCTGCCAAAAGCACAGTGAAAACCAGCAATAGGCAAGTAACTAACTCCTGGTTTATCTTCTAAGGTAGTTTTGGTTCAGAAAACCAGAGGAAGAGAAGGTGCTGTGTGGCTGCTCCACTGCCAACTTGACCTCTGTAACCTGTAGCTCAGGAGCCTTTGCACTTGCTAATTCCTTTTAACATGAGTTGCTACAAGACTGTTCCTGCATGTGACTAATGTCTTCTCGGATGTTGCTCTAAGTGTTCTCAGAAAAGAGCACTGTAAGATGGGCTGGCTGTAGCAAAGCTAGCATGCTATGATGCAACTTGTTGTTTTGAACATACAGTACAGTAACCATCAGTAATGACAGTCGATTACTCTCAAGATGCCCCTCCAAGCATACTTTACACAGACGGTGCTTCCCTCTCTGAAATTCACCCAGACTGGTGAAAGAGCATTCAATGAGCAGCAGCATCGAGCAGCTGCCTGCAAGTTCTCATCAAAAGCCTCTTGATTTTTGTGACTTCTCCACTAGCTTTGGAAAGAGTTGACCTGTACTTGTAAGAGCTCCTAGGAAACAAACTGGGCAAAGCGAGCATTCAGGGTGATGTGATCAAGGAGACAGCAGAAAAGCCAAACCAAGGTACGACTTTTGATGAGCACCATGAAGACCGCATTTGGAGGCAGAAGTACGGAGGGCAACTTGTGCAGTAAGACTCAGAAAGCTAAGGAGAGAATTCTTCTCTTAGGCTTCTAGCAAGATTTCCTTTCACTGCCAAGGAAAGGGCACTCCAGATCTCTGTACAAAGCCAACAACCAACAGGTTTACTCAAGCGTGTGTAGCGGTGCATCGGATGCTACCATTGCTTCTACATGACGCCATACATGACACCACTTCTAATGCTGCTAGAAACTGGATATCATACATACAGCTATGGAGGTCCTTTTTGCTGGTCTCATACATGACACCACTTCTAATGCTACTAGAAGGTGGGCACCATACATACGGCTATGGACGCCCTTTCTGCTGATGTGGAAATGAAGCTGGGAACCATGGAGGCTGGGACCACTCCATCATCACAAGTCTGAACAAAGGAGTAGTGTTCATAGAATAGCTAGGGTTGGAAAGGACCTTAAGATCATCAAGTTCCAACCCCCCTGTCATGGGCAGGGACACTTCACACTAAATCACATCACCCAAAGCTGTCCAGCCTGGCCTTGAACACTGCCAGGGATGGAGCATTCACAACTTCCCTGGGCAACCCATTCCAGTGCCTCACCACCCTTACAGTAAAGAACTTCTTCTTTATATCCAATCTAAATTTCCCCTGTTTAAGTTTTAACCCATTACTCCTTGTACATGTACCGTTATTAAAGGAAAAACTCCCAGCATACTTATAATGCTCAGGATCTATGGCTTAAACTGCCAAGTTTGGGGTATAAAAGGGGCTGAGCACACCACCTGCGAGCCAAAGGTCAGTGTGGGTAGCATGCAGTGAGTGTACCAGGTATCGCGAGATGCCTGTCACAGCCTCAGTTCTAAGACAAACCATGCACAATTTCTTTGCACATCTACAGCAGCAGCTAACGGTTATTTTTTTGGCTCTGAACTTTGTCCAAAGTTCATCTCCAAAACAAACTTCAGTCAAAGTGCCCGTATCGACTCCTCAGCAGAATAAACATGCTGAATCTCTAATAACGTTTCAGCACTCGTGCTCACTTCTTTCAACCTGCTTCTTAACCAGAAAGATAAAACCCAGTGAAATAAACAGCCTTTACTTGGGATTTGTTTTTCTGGTGCCTCTATCAAAGGCTCTGAAGGACAAAAGCAACTCCTGTCTGGTTGTTTTCAGAGTAAGCTGACTCCTTGTTTTACTTCAAACCTTAACTGAAGGTAACGCGAAAATCCAGGCTGTTGTTGGGTTCTAACACTTGGGCTCTGCAACTTGAACCACTGGTAGTAAAGTTTACACAGAGGGGGGAAATATGAGTATTTGGAGGGGTTTAAGAATTGGTTATGGAGGTGAGGCTGGAGGGGTGAGAGGAGGGAAGGGGCTGGATGTAACTGCAGTAAACTAATGTATGATTGGACGGCAATCAACCTGACCCTAGTATTGCTTGATCTGAGTGGCTATAAAGTACAAAGAACTATTAAAAGCAAACATAAATTTATTAACAATCCTGTAATATTTTTATTGCACTGACCGTAACACTTCTTGTCACAGTTGGACATGTTAGAAAAACCTATTGTGAAGGCCACTAGTTTTTTTGGTAGTCCAGTGGTATGTGACCTTACCTATTAACCCATGATGTGCACCTTTCAGTAGCTATTTGATGGTGTTTTCTGTGGTTTTATGTTTTTTAGTGCTCCATCAACTCTGCTTTTCAGATTCAGGCTTGTAAAAAAAAGCAAAACAAGTTTATAAAAAACAGGGGATAGGAAGAATTCCCTCAAAAAGCCAAACAAAATGAAAATGGAAAACAAGGGCATTTTTGGAGGACTCCATTTGCTTCGTACGTTTTCCTTTTTGTGCCCTTAAGGTTTGCGTCTTCAGGCTCTTATTTACAAGCCCACAGGCTAGAAGTTTAATGAAACAAAAATAACCTCAAGTTTCTCACACAACTGTATGAGTCCAGGAGCTACAGCTTTAAGAAAGGCACCAAGTTAAGTTCACAATTCAAATCCCACAGAACTTGTTGACCAATTAACAGTAGTTAAATAAGCTACAGCTTGGTAGCCCCATTTTTTGACTGTGGAGGGGGTACCTTGCTGTAACCCCCCCTCACATCGAGCACACCAGAATCCTCCAGATGATAACACTGCGCATTATTGCCCAATTATGACGAGTCCCCGAGTTACTCATCACAACTGCTTTATGGATTTAGTTTCACAACATAATGAGTTCATTGCAGTTTCCTGAAGCATCTGCAGAGATAATGCAAACACTTACTTTTCTTCCCAACTTGTGAAAGCTGTGAAGGAATAAAGTGATGCGAGAGGATATTAAAAAGAAGAAATAAATCATTTTTGCATTGCATCAACCCCCAGCCTTCTGTAAGAGTTCGTGCAAATCCCGCAGCGTCCAGAACATGTCCCACTGCTTCATAGCAATGGTGGCTCCGAGATAAAGGCAAGGTTTGGGGTAATTCTGGGACTCCAAAGAAATTCAGAAGCCGGAGGCATATGCCACGGCTGGAAGTTAAGCTGGTTTATTGCAGGTAAGGACTGATCCTGCTTGGGTTTGGGCAGCCCCCAGCATCTGAATGCCTAGGAACTGGGGGGGCACAGCGGCCCCACGCTGCTCTTTCACGGGAGGACGGACACAGAAACACCCAAGGAGCCCTGTGCACCCCAAATCCTGATCCTGTTGCCAGCAATCCCCAAAGCCGATCTCACGGTTGTTTTCCTTTGGCCTCAACAGGCACCGCAGGGTGAGATGCGTGATGTATAACTTCCCCGCTTGGAACCTGCCTGGGAAACTTTGTGACTCGCCGAGATTTATTTTTGCCTTTTGGGAGGGGGATTTAAAGAGGAAGAAATAAAATAAAAGGAAATAAAAGGTGAACGCAAAAAGGCGATGAAAGCTGTCGAGCAGCCCGAAAGCAAATGGCAGCATCACCCAGCGCCGGAGCAGAAGTTAATCAATAAATAACCGAACCCCGCTGCATGAGGCGGAAAAGCGGCGGCGGAAAGAAGGGAAAGAGAGAAGAGGGAAAACCCTCCCCGGGCCCGCGAGCGGGAGCGCGGCTCCTGCCAGGAACACGGCAGTGCCGGCGGGAGGGAGGGAGCGGCGGGGACGGGATGGGAGCAGGGCTCGGGATGCGAGGAACACCGCTCTTCCCCCCCGCCGCAGCTTCCTGCGCCCCCCCCACCCCCGGCCCTGTTGCATCAACTTCCTGTGCGGAGCCCCTCGCGCGCGGCTCCTCCCGCCCCAGCTTCCTGCGCGCGCTCCCGCGCCCGCGCTCCCGCACGGGCGGGCGGGGGGAGAGAGACGGGAGAGGGAAGGAGGGAGGGAGGGAGGGAGGGGAAGCGGCGGGGGGGTCGGCCCGCTCACTGTTCCCCCCCCCCCAGGCACCCCCTTCCATCCATCCATCAATCCCTCCCTCCCTCGGCCGTGCGCCTCCCGCCCGGTGCCGGTGGTGCGGTGCCGGTGAGGTGCGGTGCGGCCGCCCGGTGCCGTGTCGCACCCCCCCCCCCCCCCATCGCCGCTCCGGCAGAGTTTGGTGCCCTACTTCACTCTACTTTAGTTTCACTCACTTTACATCCGGGCTTTTTCCCTAGGCAATGGGGGCCGCAGCACTACCCGTTCCTTAGGCAAAGGGAAATAAATTCGCCGCACCGACACGTCAAGTAGTCCCCCTCAGGAGGAGACGCTGAGCCCGCCCTCTACTCCGCTACACGCACACACACGCCCCCCCCCCCCCCCTTTCCCTTCTCCTCTTCATCCTCCTCAACCCGGCCCCGCTATGGCGGTGGAGGATGATGAAGGGGAGGGCGTGGACCCGCCGGTCCGGTCTTCCCCTCGTTTCCCCCCGCGGGTCTCCGTCGGCGGGCCGGGGGCGCGCGCGGCGGCGTGTCGGGAGCGCGCCTCAGGCAGGCAGGGAGGGAGGGAGGGAGGGAGGCCGGCGGCGGAGGGATCCGCAAGCAGTGCTGCGGCCGGGCCGGGTGAATGGGATTGAAGAAGAGTTCAGCTTCTCGGCTTGTTTTTGTGTCACAGTTTGTCTCCTCCTGCGCCTCGCCGGCTTCGTGCCTCCCTCCCCGCCCGCACCCTCCTCCCCTCCGCAGGACGAGCCCCCCGCGGACAGGGGGAAGGAAAAGGACCCCACAGAGGAGAGAGCGAGCGAAGAGGAGGAGGAGAAGGGAGCAACCTACCATCTTCCACTCCCCGCTTAGCTTAAAGAAAGTGAGAGGAGGAGAGAGGCGCCCAGAAGAGGGGGACAGGGAGGCCCGGAGGAGCGGCGGCGCCGGCACCCTCCCCCTATGAAGAAGAGTCCTCCCCCTCACACAGAGGTCCTGCCAGGGGGACCCGGGCCGGCCCGCACCAGCACCGCCGCCGCCAGCAGGGTGTAGTATCCCACCTTTCGGATTCTCCTCCTCCTCCTCCTCTTCCTCCTCCTCCCTGTCCTCCCCTTCCCCCCCATCCCTCCCACCGCGGGGCCGCCGCACTCTCCGGGCCAACTTGGCGATGAGGAGCAGCAACTTCTCCGCTGCTCCCCGCCCCCCCCCCCCCTTTCCCCGTCCCCTCCCTCGGGGGGTGGTGGTGGTGGTGGTGGGGAAGAGCGGAGCGTCCCGGGGCACCGCCGCGGTTCCCCCCCTCGGCCTTTCCCCGGCGGGCGCCGGCAGAAGTTTTGCGAGCGGGAGCGGTGGAGGTGGAGGAGGGTGACACTTGGGGTGAAAGGAGGAGGTGACACATTGGGGTTGGGGGGAGGAGCAGGGGAAGGAGATGACACATTGCACTGGGGATGGGGTGGGGGAGGGAGGTTTATCCCCTCCCCTCCGGTTTCCTTCAGGATGATTATTTCCAGGCCCTTTTTCTCTCGGTCGGGTCCTTTCGCCGCGATGCTGTCGGGGAAGTTTTATTATTATCTGGGAAATGATGCCGCTTTCCGCGATGGATAATTCATAGGAAACCCGCTGCTGCGGTGCATTTTTTGTGCGTTTTTTTGTTTTCCCCCCCCCCCCCCCCCCCCCCTTTCCTTTCATTCGTCTTTGTGGCCCGAGCAGCGCCGGGAAAATTCCGTTTCTTCTGCAACTTGTTATTCCGGAGCCGGGCCTGCCCCCCCCTCCTCCCCGCACCGGGGCTGCCCTTCCCGCACAGATACGGGGCTGGGGCCGGGGCTCCCGCTCCTGCCCCGCTCGGCTCCCGGCCTTGGCCACGGCTACTTCTTCATTCTTATTCTTTTTCCCTCCCTCCTGCGTCCGTGTAGGTGGAGTGTGGCTCTATGTGGGACTCTGCCATTTGGTCTAGTGCTCTTGTGCATGCTCCTTTCTTCACTTGCCTTCCTGCGGGATTTATTGTTATTTTTATTTTGATGGTGATGTATGGGATTTATTTTTTTTTTTTTTTATTATTCCGAGCTTTTCCAGCGGTAGAGTTTTGTTGGGTTTTCTTTTTCCCCCAAAACACCTCTGCAGTTCGGTGGATTGTACGCTGAGGTTTTTAGGTGAATTCGGATTGGATTAATACATGGAGCTCTTCATTCAACTTCTTCTCAAGTGTCAAAATATGAGGCTGTGAACAGATGTGTTTCAATATGGAGAGATTTCCAAGTTCCTAATTCTTGGGGGTGGAGGAAAGAGTGCCATTGGAGAGTGGCTTTTGTTTTCGATTGGTGAACAAATGTCATCACATTTCAGTCACGTGCTGTAATATTCTTTGTTCAGCTATCAAAGTATGGTATCTACTACACCTGTTCCCACTTTTTAATTGTAAGTAACGGTGATTCTTATCCTGCAAATCTTATACTTGTGGATAGGGAGTGCAATTCCCATCTTCCTCCCCCCTTCCTGCCCCCTTGGATGTTTGTTTGGACCCAGGCGCTGAGCTTGACAATGAACTTTTGTTCACTGTGGAGGCTGCGTGTAGAAAGGTCCCACTGGGGGTAATAACTTGCGTGTCATGAGGAAGTTGTGTGCGGTGATGTGCGGTGGGTCTGAGCATGGAACAGTGCGGTGGGGATGTATGGGCACTCATGGCAGGGCTCTGGGAAGGGGCAGGCTCCCCTGGGCCAGTGGCATTTTCCTAGCTAGGTACGCTGTTGCTTGCTCTCAGGTTGGAGGACAGATGCTCCCGTGCACCCATATAGATAGATACATCTTTTTTTGCTTAGCTGTAGCTTTTCAGGTATTAGAAAGCAAAAGGGTTTTGGCTGTTTACTTTTTTTTTTTTTCTATTTGCCCATTGTGCTCACTTCTAACAATGAAGGCACCTGCTTAGTTTCAGTTTTGGAAGTCAGTCTCCTCTGGCTTTCCTGGGCTTGCCTGTAGCTTGCTGGTGAGCTGGATGTGCTACATAGTGAGGGAATGTTTAACTTGGGAGAAAAGAGGCTTATTTTGGAGCCTAATTTATGGAAAATAAAACCAACAAACCCATGCTTTTCAAATTGGGAGAAAAACCCCCAAACCCCTAAAAATCTGAAAATCATAACTTCTACCCAGTTAATATGTAATGCTGAAACTTTTATATTGAGCTTGATAGTGATTGTGTACAATACAATTTTATAGTTTATATTTAAATAGTGTTAGCTTACTGACATGAACTGGATCTTAAAGTAGGAAATGAAACGTGCATAACTACCCATGTTAGTTGATCACTACACTTTAGAAGGATCACAGGCTTTGGGAATATATCTGGGCATGTTTCATGATAGCTGTGTGAAACTGTTTCTGTGGGGGCATTTTCTTTTTAATTATTCTTTTCTAGAAAGGAATTTTCTAGCTCAGTAAATGAAACTTTAATACTGTATTAAAAAACCCCAAACAGATAAAGTGCTGCTCGAATGTTTTTAAACCTTTCAACCTTACTGTGCTAGGGAAATTAGGTTAGTTTATGCTAGTTACATCAGCTACAAGTTTGAGCTGATAGAGAAGGGAGTATGAAGCAACCTCTTTATCCATTGATTTCATGTTGCGTAGTAGCATGTCTGGAGTTTGACTTCAAGGTCTTAAGGGACCTTGTCCAGCTGAAGGTGCTTGCTTGCTAAGTACTTACTGGATGTCAGCTATGTCGTACCCCCAGTTTTTATTCACACTGATCTGAGTGACAGCAAACTTGAAGTGGATCCCATTAGTGTGATTTTTTTTTTTTTTTTTTTTTGTTTCAGTTAGTGATTTTTAGTGATTCTTTTGCAGTTACCCAACAGAGCTGATGTGTATAATTCAAAGTGTCCCATTAAAGAATGTTATTAATAATTATTTTACTGTTAGTCATCTTAAGATTTCTACCTGAAAGCTTTTTAATCTTTGCTCTTCTCTGTGTGCGTCCTAAACTGGATTTGTTGTGAGGTCGAAGAAAGCATTTGAAAATGTTTTTCTTCCTTTAGGGAATAAAAATACAAAACTTTCCCTTCAAAGAACTTAAAGCAAAAGTTGGAAACTGAAACTTAACACTGCTCAGAGAAAAACACTGTTGTGTTTTCCTGCTTCAGAGGAAGGTTCACTACTTTCAGTTTAGGTTTTGTAAAGATCTCTCTTCACCCTAGGCCATTCAGCTTCAGCTGTGTTTCAAGTATTAGGCCTAAATAGTTCTTGTTACAACTTTCCTTTTTTAAAGATGAGGTTTTGTGTATGTCTGTGAAACTTCACTGTAGAAATTAGAATTGAAAGGAAATGACAAATCCTTGGGCTGGATCCATACAAAGGAGGTAATTTTACTGTTTTTTTATATTTTTTTTAAATAAAAGTGTTTTAATGGCTCCTAAAAAAGTTGTTAAATTCTGTGTGCAGTTCGGATGCTTTAATAATGGGCCTGGCTATCACTTGGGTTGCTCAGGCTGTTTGTTTATAATGGGTGTGATTGCATGCGAACACATTGTAGCTGTTCAGTTCCTGTCTACTTAGTGTCAGACCCATGAAGACCTTTATTCAGTCAAGTGAATTGATACTACTGGAAGTTATTTCCAATGGAGATTTCACTTTCATTTCAATACCAGTTGGTAGGAACCTTGATGGACTTACCTTGTTTCCTATGTTATGGGTATTTTGCATGGGTACCAGAAACTCAAGATGAACATCATTTGAGAAACACATGTTGGTGACTTAACCTTTTTACTGTTGTTTTGGATTTGTTGTTTGTCGGGTTTTGCTTGCTTAAAATCTTCCAGAAAGACCTTAGTAGTGTGATAGGGCTTTGCTTTTCAGAGTGCCATCATGGTGTGATGTGAGCTGTAAAGCAGCCCAGCCGTCAGGAGGGGCTTCTTGTGTAAAAAAGGCAGTGCTAAAAACCTATTATTAAGCTTCTAATAGTATTTCTTCACTGTCCCCTTCACCCTTTATGCTCACAACTGTGCAGTCACATGTGTAGCTGTGTACTAGAAGTGTAAGACTCCACAAAAGGCCTGGCTCCTCTATGATTGTGAATTGCCCTTGTTCAATTACTCTGTGCCAGAAAGCAGCTCGCATCCTGTTTCTGATATGTTTGAACTGCACAGAGGTTTTTTAGGAACAAACCATATACTAGGAAGGTGGGGCAGTGCACAGGAGGGTTTTGAGGTGTCTGCTTAATGCATGGGGCAAGATATTTACTTCTGTACCCTGTAAATAGAGGGTAAACTGAAGGATAGTTTTTATAGGTATCTTACATTAATATTTCATGTTCACTATAGCACAGAGCTGGTGTCTGGCTTGTGCCAGTGGCAGGATATGCATTATGCAGGCAAAAAAAGAAGTTTATTTACATTTGGGGATGGAGGGGGACTTTGTATTTTCTTATTTTCCTTTTTTTCTTCCTGTAAATACAGTCTCATTAAAAACAAAACAAAAAGAAAAACCCCAAACCAACAAGAGAACAACCCTGTGTTTCTTTAATAAGTTTTCAACAAATTTTGGCTCCTGCACCTTACCAAGTTCCTCACTGGTTTAAAATTGGTTAAGTGTGATTTTAAGTTTGAGTCTGCTTTTGTTATGTCAAAACCTCACAAAAGCAAAATGGCAAGTGTGGATATAGAATGGTTAAAAAATATACAAAGATCAAAAGAGATTTTAAAATGTGCTTAGTGCTGAGGAAAGGTGCATTCGTGTGACATCAGACTTGACAGAATCCCCTGTCCTTAACATGATTCTTAAAGCTATAGAAAGTTCTGAAAGGTCCCTTCAGTCCGAGAGCATTGCCGAGCCTGCTGCCCTAACAAAGCCCAACTTAGCACAGCATCTTTTGTTTTAATACTTTGATCATCCCTGGCTTTTGAGGAAGGAATGCACTACTTGATGTTGGCTTCTCTGCAGTATTTATTTTCTGTTTTACTGTTCACATCATTGTAATACCTCAGTTGGAATTAGCAATCACCCTGTGCCTTAAAAGCTCTTTGCTGAGATGGTTTGACCTCTCGTTCGTTCCCTCTTACCTG